ACCAGCACAGCCCACACCTCCTCTTTTTATACAGCAGTCCCAAGGTGTTGCCTCTTAGTGCCTTCTCCTTTTACCCTGGAGTTGTCGTATTGACTGCTGCTGATTTACTCTCGCTAATTGACGACGTGTGCGAGCATCCATTAGCAAGTCCATCAGGTGTGAGTCTTCCGAGTCTGACTCATTCTCCTCACACAGCTGAGCTTCATCAGGAACACGACTGGAGGGCCCAGGCTCTGCATCAAACCATGAGTCCTGTAATTCATCATCTCTCTGCCCCGATGGCCCTTCAAATGCCTCCTCCACCTCCTCCTCAGATTCCTGTTGGGAGCACAGGCTGGCACGGAATCACAACAGGCAGCTTGAAGTCCACAGATCTTCAAGCTGCCAAGGTTGGACACCCCTGGTTTAAATCGTATTTTTTTTCTTGCGTAAGCCACACACAATCACACCCCCTTTCCTTGACCAATGTTCCTTGCTCACAGGGAATTCTGGGAGTTGAAGTCCACAGGTCTTCAAGTTGCCAAATTAGCGGGTTGATGCTCAGAGATGCAACGACACAAGCGTAATAATGCAACTGATTCCAAACGGCTTCGAACTCCGTTTCTCCCCAGGAGACAGCAAGCCGCTGGATCTAAATGAAAAGTAAACACAGGCACGGGCGAATTGCATGGTTGTTATGCTGCTCTTAAATGGTTTCTAGAGAAAACAAGTTTCCCCTCTGGGTCTCTGGGGAGCCTCACGCGGGAGGTAAGTCAACACAGCAGGCCCTTTGTCTTGTTTTGAATTTTTAAATTTACCCTATGTGACGCCCATCTCACCTGGAAGGCTTACACTCAATAAAGACAACAGGATAAGACATGGAAACTCATCAAGGAGAGAAGCAATCTGGAATTAAGGAGGAATTTCCTGACAACGAGGACAATTAACCAGAGGAATAGAGGTTGCCCTCAGAAGTTGTGGGTGATCCAACAGGGGAAGTTTTTAAGAAAAAGTGGACAGCCATTTGTCTGAAATGGTATAGGATCTCCTGCCTGAGCAGGGGGTTGGACTAGATGACCTCCAAGGTACCTTCCAACTCTACTCTACTCTACTCTATGTACTCTACTCTACTCTACTCCACTCCATATCCTATCCTATCCTATCCTATCCCATTCCATATTCTATTGTATTGTACTCTACTCTACTCCACTCCTTATTCTATTCTATTCTATTCCATTCCATTCTTATTCCATTCCATATCCTATTCTATTGCACTCTACTCCACTCCACTCCACTCCATATTCTATTCTATTCTATTCTATTCTATTCTATTCTATTCTATTCTATCCTATCTTATTCCTGTTCTTATTCTATTCTATTCTTATTCTATTCTATTTTCTGTTCTATTCTATTCTATATTTTAATCCTATTCTATTCTGTTCTGTTCTGTTCTATTCTATTCTATTCCATTCCATTCCATTCCATATTCTATTGTATTGTACTCTACTCCACCATATTCTATTCTATTCTATTCTATTCTATTCTATTCTATTCTATTCTATTCTTATTCCATTCTTATTCCATTCCATTCCACATTCTATTGTATTCTACTCTAATCCAATCTACTCTACTCTCCATTCCTCTGTGAAAGTTTTTTTTTTTTTAAATTGGCTATTTCTATTGATAAATGAAACAGATCCTGAAAATAAAGTAGGGCTGTTTTTGTCATCTTAAGAAAACCCCATGACTCTTCCCACTATGAAACTCAATTCATTCACACATTCAGAGAGAAACCTTTGACCCAAGGTGACCCTATCAACTTACAGCCTACTCAATAGTGTCATTTACCTGTAAAAACAATGCACCGCCAGGGGCCAAACTGCAGAAAAATCACCTCGTTCACTTTTTTTATTTTATTTATTTACACCATTTATTCACACTATTTTTTTTTTTTTGCTTTTAGCAGCCAGATACAGCTAGTCCTCGACTTGTTCATTTAGTGAACGTTCAGAGTTACAACGGCGCTGAAAAAAGGGACTTGTGACCATTTGTGGTGGGCACAGCAGTGCCTGCCTTTTCTGCGTGGCGTGAGAAAAGCACATCTGCCTTCCCCTGTCCTGACCACTTTCTACAGGGGGAAGATGGAGAGCAGCCTGTCATACAGCATCACAGTCTGGTTTGGAAGCATCCCTGCTTCGCACAGGAAGGCGGTGCAGAGTGGTGAGGACGGCAGAAAAGATCATTGGCAGTTCCCTCCCTCCCATCCAGGACGTGGCACAGAAGCGTGGCTTGAGCAGGGTCCGCAAGACTGTCTGGGACGCCACACATCCTGTTCACGACCTGTTTTCCTTGTTCCCTTCTGGGAGGAGGCTTCGTGGTATCTGAAGCAGAACATCCAGATTCAGTCAGTTTTGTTCCATACAGTATAAACCTTGTCAACCGTAAAGCTTCCTCCTTCCGTTATGTATTCAAGATGGACAGCAATTAATAGTTATATGTTACTTATATGTAAGGATATAGGTGTATACACATGTTGTTTATAGTGTGTTTAAATGTGTGTTACGTATATGTACACTTTGACAGCAACTTTCATTTTTAATGTGTGCCAATGTGCCCACAGTAAAAAAAAAAATCTATCCAGCCAGCCGTCCATTTTTCACACTTACAACTGTTGAAAGAAAGGTCTTCATCGTGGTTCATCCAAGCTGGGAATAAACATGGCAACTGCTTTGGGAACAAGGTTGTAGTTTATTGGAGAGGAGAGCCAGACAGGAAGATGGTCCTGGCAGCAAGAGAAGTGAGAAAAAAGGGGCTGAGCACATGTAGGGAGTAGGTTTTTATACCCTCTGGAGCCTTTTGTTTGGAGTTGTTTCCTGTTCCTGTGGCATGAACTTTAACCAGAGTCTGAGTGTGCTTTTCTGGTATTCTGATGGTGGTGGGTTAATCCTATTATGTCCCAAAGGTCATATCCTGCTTCCCTGGGGCTAGGGCTAATGACTCTTAGAGTTTGGGTGGGATATGTAGATTTTAGGTGTCTTCTTAATCTTCTAGCTTCAACCTTCCTGAATGGTTTACATCTGCATTTGTACAGAGCTGGTTTCTGCTCGGGGGAGGGAGACTTGATGCTATTAAGAAAAACTGGGCATGCTTTTCTGCCTCTTTAAGATCCTTTGAGGAAATATAATATTCTGCCCTTTTAATATTTCCTTCTCTGAGGAGCTGACTTCCCCCACAACTTTTGCAGCATCCCCATGATCACGAGCTCAAACTCCAGATCAGTGGTTCTCAACCTTCCTAATGCCGCGACCCTTTAATACAGTTCCTCATGTTGTGGTGACCCCCAACCCTAAGGGTTCTCCAAGTGCGCACCAACGCTGCCCACTCACCCGCCGTGCCCAGAGCTCAGTGCCGCCTCACCTGTCCTCGCCTCACTTCCGAAGGTCGACGGCCTGCCCGGCTCCAGCTGGCCGGGCAGGGGGGGCAGGAAGGCTGCTCCACACAGCCTGGTTGGAGAAGCGCCCAGGCAGGGAGAGGGAGAGACAGAAAGAGCGAGAGAGAGAGAGAGCCAAGAGGGCGACAGCACCGGCAGAGCTTAGTTCAGCCTCCTCTGCAGAAAGGGCCAAAAGCAGTGCAGCCTCCCTTAGGACAGTGTTTCCCAAACTTGACAATTTTAAGGCATGTGGACTTCAACTCCCAGAATTCCACAGCCAGCGTTGCTGGCTGTGGAATTCTGGGAGTTGAAATCCTCATGCCTTAAAACTGTCAAGTTTGGGAAACACTCCCTTAGGAGATGCTCGACAGAAACGAATCCGGCACTGCAACGGCCCCCAGCTCAAAGCCGTGCGGAGACGGATAGAGGAGCGGTGTCTCGGTTCTTAAGACCATCGGAAATATGTGTTTTCCGATGATCGTAGGCGACCCCTGTGAAAGGGTCATTCGACCCCCAAAGGGGTCGCGACCCACAGGTTGAGAACCGCTGCTCCAGATGCTTATGAATTCATACTTATGACCGTTGCTGTGTCTCAAGGTGATGTGATCCCCTTTTGTGACCTTCTGACCAGCAAAATCAATGGGGGGAAGCCAGATTCACTTAACGACCAGGTTACTAACTTATCAACTGCAATGATTCACTTAACAACTGTGGCAAGAATGATAGTAAAAGGGGGCAAAACTCGCTTAACATTGTGGGCTCAATTGCGGTTGTTAAGTCGAGGACTACCCGTCAGGCACTAATTTAAACTTATTTTTCAGAGAATCTTGCCTTTCGCACGAATAAACTAAACCTCCCTCTATTTTTTTAAGCCGCTGAAAAAAGATTTAGAAACAATAAAACTACATTTCTCAGATTTCCCTATTCCAGTGTTTCTCAACCTTGACAATTTTAAGGCATGTGGACTTCAACTCCCAGAATTCTGGGAGTTGAAGTCCACATGCCTTAAAATTGTCAAGGTTGAGCAACACTGCCCTATTCCGACGTGACTATACCGTTCACGTGAAAAGCTCGGGTTGCATCTTGGGCTCCGCCCGCCGCCACCTACTATCGCACCTCTCATTGGTCGTCATCATTGCTTAGTCCCGCCTGCCTCTTCTTGGACCGCCCACTACCCCGCCCCTCTTACGTCATTTACTCCATCCCGGCTTTCCACGTATTGCTACCCACCTGGCGGTGATTACGCCGATGAAGTAATCCCGCCCCTTTCGGACCGCTTATGGCAAGGGTCTCCAATCTTGGCCACTTTTAGACTTGTGACTTCAACTCCCAGAATTCCTCAGCCAGCATGGCTTAGCTTGGAAACCTCTCTTTCCACTCAGCATGCCTGGCTCAGGAATTCTGGGAGTTGAAGTCCGCAAGTCTTAAAGCCGCCAAGGTGGAGGACCCCTGGCCTTCCGCCTCTAGCACATCCTCGAGTCCCCATTGGCCACCTGAGAATCACCACCGCTCTTTCCCATTGGCTTCTTCACGCCCCTTTCTGATTGGCCGGCCGCTCTCCTCCCGGCCGTCCAATCGGGTGTCGAGTTACCTCAGGAGCATTTTCCTCGCTCCGGCTGAGGCGGCGGCTGAGGCGTCAGAAGCCAAAGCGGCGATGATGGCGAGCCGGCGCGGGGCGGCTTGGCGGCCGTGGCTGCAGCTCCTTCTGCTGCTCTCGTGGCGGTGCGGCGCGGCCCGGGCGGCGGCGCACATCAAGAAGGCGGAGGCCGCCTCGTCGTCGCCTTCTTCTTTTTCCTCCTCGGAGGCCCCGCGCTACTTGGACGAGGCCGAGCTGGGCGAGACGCTGAGGCGGCTGGCGGAGGAAGAGGCCCCGCGCGGCCTGGCGCGCCGCTTCTCCATCGGCCGCTCCAGCGAAGGGCGCGAGCTGTGGGTGCTGCGCCTCAGCGACGGCCTGCCGGAGGGCGGCGGCGGCGGCGGCGGGCCTCCCCTCGCGGGCCGCCCTCAGGTGAAGCTGGTGGCCAACATGCACGGCGACGAGACGCTGGGCCGCGCGCTGCTGGTGCGCCTGGCCCGCGAGCTGGTGGCGGGCTGGGCCCGCGGGGAGCCCCGGGCGCGCCGCCTGCTCGGCGCCACCGACCTCTTCCTCCTGCCCAGCCTCAACCCGGACGGCTTCGCGCACGCCCGCGAGGGGGACTGCCAGGGCCACGGCGGGCGGGAGAACGGGCGCGGCTTCGACCTCAACCGCAGCTTCCCCGACCAGTTCGGAGCAGCAGGCGGCGGCCCCCCGCCGGACCCGGCCGCCGTGCCCGAAGTGCGGGCGCTGATGGAGTGGATGCGGCGCAACCGGTGAGGCGGCGCACGTGGGGGGCGGGGCCGGGGGCGCGAGGGGCGGGGCCTGCCGGCTCTAGGCTTTGAAGGGCCGCCGGGTTCCTCGTTGTGGCCCCGCCCCTCCCCGCACGTCTATACAGACCGAGATACAGCTTTCGTAGCTTTTTTTTACGGGTACAGGTATGCAGGTCTTGGCGTATTCGTAAGGTGACCAACTTTTTTTTACAATGAAAAGGAGGACACAAATAAATTGAAGAAAAAAAATATCCTAAATTAAAAGCATTTTATTCATTGCAACAATAATACAGACAACTTGCATGTGCAAAGTTTGCCAGCCGGGTGTTTTGGCGCGCTCGGCAGCAATTCCTATTGGCTTTCGAAAGCCAGTAGTGCAGTGGTTCTCCACCTGTGGGTCGGGACCCCGTTTGCAGAATGGGACTTTTGGCGGGCTCAGCAGGGCAGAGACAGCCTGGGCAATTCCTATTGGCTTTGGAAAGCCAATCGAATTAGACTCTATTCAAGAGAGTCTCTTCTATTGGCTTTCAAAAGCCAATAGAATAAAAGGGAGGAGCACAGCTAAGGAAAAGGGGGGGAAAATGGTGGACTGCATTGTTTGGCGACCCCCGTGAAATGGTTGTTCGACCCCAAATGGGGTCCCGACCCACAGGTTGAGAACCACTGATTTAGGGCATTCCCTCTTTTTCATTGTGAGGTTGCATAGCTTTCAAGTATCCATTGAAGTCTCTGCAAATTGGTTTTGCTGCTGATGATTCAAACCCAACTACTTTGGTAGAAAAAAATAAATACTTTTTATCTCCAAACTGCTGGGATTTTGATTAGTGACATTCTGTTTTGTTTTGCTTTGTTTTTTTAAAAAAATACAGATTTGTGCTTTCTGGGAACTTTCATGGGGGAACTGTTGTTGCAAGCTATCCATTTGATGACTCAAAGTTGCACAAGTCCTCTGGAATCTACAGTAAATCTGCTGATGATGAGGTTTTCAAATACCTGGCCAAAGCCTACGCATCGAACCACCCAATCATGAGAACGGGCACCCCAAATTGTCCTGGGGAAGAGAATGAAACTTTCAAAGATGGCATCACCAATGGAGCTCAGTGGTATGATGTGGAAGGTAGGTTGAATTGATCGCCAGCTAATTGATTGGAGCCTTTGGCTGTAGAGCAGCATAGATATGTTAGAGATAAACTGCCGTATATGCTACTGAAAAGAGAGTAGCCTAGCAACAAGATCTATGTTGGCTATTGATTCTGCTGGTTTAAATGTCATTGTCGTATAGTAAACCATCAGGTTTAAGTAGCATGGAGCACATGTTAAGCTGAAGTACTTGTGTATGGCTTGTTTGGGCATATTGCAACTGGTTAAGGCAGTGGTGGCAAACCTATGGCACGGGTGGCAAACCTATGCCAGAGGCGGCACTTGGAGCCCTCTCTGTGGGCACATGTGCCATTGCCCCAGCCTCGCCTCCCCCCACGACCCCCTCCTCACCAGCAGCCCCCCTGGAGGATTCGCCCCTGAGCGTGGCCCACGCAGAGCAGCGCAGCCAGGGACATGGCAACCAGGCAGTGTAGACAAGACTCTGCCCTCACGCCCCATCACGCACAGTTGATGCTGCAGGGCGCGGGCAGAGGGCGTGGCCACCATGGCGCTGCTGGGCTGCCTGGGCGATCTGCGGTGGGCCCTGGAGGCGGTGAGTGGCCCTGCGGGCAGGCAGGGTAGGGGATGGTGTGGGGGTGGAGCAGGGGCACGGCAGGGGGGGTGGGGCCAGTTTTGGGGCATTCGGTCTCTGAAAGGTTCGCCATCACTGGGTTAAGGTATTCCCCCACACATACACACTCACCCACAAAGCTAGAAGAATGCTATACGTTCCATGTGATGGATGCAGCTGCTCTTATTCTAACTAATATGGGATAGAGGTTGTCAGTCAAGTAACCAGGCCCTGTGGCATGTAGGCTTTATGAGTAGCAACCAGCACTTCAAATTGTGCTCAGAAGTAAACCATCAAACCAGTGCAACTTGTGAAGCAGAAGTATTATGTGGGCATATTGAGTAATACCCACCCCTGCACTTAGCACCAGTTGAAGTTTCTAGGGGGATATCTTCAAGAGTAGCCCTATATAGAGTGTGCTGCAGTAGTCAAGCTGCGAACTGACCAGGGATGAGTGATGGTCTGAAGGTCGCTTTGATCCAACAGTGAAACTGTCAATAATGATGATGATGATGATGATGTTGGAAGGGACCTTGGAGGCCACCTAGTCCAACCCCCTGCTCAGGCAGGAAACCCTATACCATTTCAGACAAATGGCTGTCCAGTCTCTTCTTAAAAATTTGCAGTGTTGGAGCATTCACAACTTCTGGAGGCAGGTTGTTACACAATATCTGCCTAGGTCAGGGGTAGGCAATCTTGGCACTTTTATGACTCGTGGACTTCAAGTCCCAGAATTCCTGAGCCAGCCCTGCTGAGGGGAAAGGGAGAGGTTTCCAAGCTGAGCCATGCTGACTCAGGAATTCTGGGAGTTGAAGTCCACGAGTCATAAAGGGGGCCATAGTTTCCCCCATGCTGGCTCAGGAATTCTGGGAGTTGAAGTCCAAGAGTCATGAAGGGGGCCATAGTTCCCCCATGCTGGCTGAAGAATTCTGGGAGTTGAAGTTCACAAGTCATAAAAGAGCCAAGGTTGCCTACCCCTGGCCTAGGTGATTAGATCCTGCCGGATTGGCACACTTCCAGTTCCTTCAATTAAATAATGTTATCTATTGGAACCCTGGAAATATGCCTTCTGTAGTAGAACCTAAAGAATGAGGTCCCCCCCCCCAAGAACTAGATGACCCCCACTCTGGTGTTGCTTGTAAGAACCATGAATTCCTGATTATTCATCCAGGCCTTTCACAAGACCCAGGCTTCTGCAGCATTAATTATGAAATACTCAACTTCTAGGAAAGATTGCAAAAGCACGTTAAAGAGCAGGTGAACAAGGAGAATATTATCTTCCAATCTTACGAGTAGTAAGGTTTCTTTATGAAGAAAAGTAGATATCTTTTGGCATTTAACACAGTAGAAAAAAATTACAAAATCTGTTGTGCTGATGTCTGTTTGTGATCTGCTTTTGGTTTTGCTGTTAATTGAACAAAGGATCGCAAATACTCTAGGTTATGCCAGTGGTTAGCTTTGGTATAGCAGCTGTTGACCTAATTGTACAACTACGTTCAGTTAGTTAAAATTATTTGTGATCCTGAAAATACATTCAGTATCACAAAGAATAACTAAAATCTAACCAAAATATTGTTTAAAATATCTGTACTGGATTTTTGTGTGTGACTGATTTCTTATACAATAGACATTTCTAACATCACCAATACCTGGTTTCTTGATTTACAATTCTGCAGTTGGTTGTGTTGTCTTTATCAGGGTGGATGCTTGATCATTTTCTATTGAAGTTTAAATATTATAATTATTTTACATTTTCTAAGATGCCTAGAAGTGGTAGCTTTAATTTAGATAGCCTACACATTTGATTAAACTAAAAATGTTCGAAAAAGAAATTGGATGGAATTAAATATGACTTGTTGCTAAGCGTATAGGATTTAGAGTCTCTTTATATTATTTTTTAAATTACAGTATGTTGGGTTAAAGAAGCTTGCAATTTTTTTTTTAATTCTAATTAAATCCTCTAGATTGGAGGTCCCCAATCTTTCTTGGTTAGTAGCCCAGAAGGAAAGGAAGGGGCAGGCGCCTGTACGTGCGCACACACGTGAACGGAGTTGCACATACGTGCCGCAAACAGGGCCACGAGCACGTGCATGATGCAAACGGGGTCGTGAGCATATGTGCAATGCTCACGGCAACACTAGCACCCACAACCCTCACGACAACGCTAGCGCCTACGTCAGTGATGGCGAACCTTTTAGAGACCGAGTGCCCAAACTGCAACCCAAAACCCACATGCATCGTCGGGTGCCAGGTGGGTGTGGCCCATTGGATGGGTGTGGCCCATTGGGTGGGCGTGGCTGCAGTGGTAACAGCAGACTGGGTGGGACTAAAAAGTTCAATCAATCAATTCCAACTTTGCAAGATCTTTTTTTTTCCCGCGAGAAGTTGAAATTGACTGATTGATTGATTGAACTTTTTTTTTGTACACAACGGCGGAGGCCTAAAGCGAAAAGGTTTTATAAAACCCAGCTGAAGGCCTAGGACTGGGGCGACGGTGCATGTGCCCACCCATGCCATAGGTTCACCACCACTGGCCTAAGTGATCCTCAGCGGCACTAGCATATGGGGGGGCTGAGTGCATGTACAAACCCACGCTCACTGGCCAGCCACTTGGTAAGGACCTCTGTTCTAGATCTAACTATTCTGATTTCTTTTTCAATAATTTCATCTAAACTAGCGATAAACAGATTAAACAACCACATTTCTAAGTCCAATTATCAAAATAAAATTAGTTCATTGTTATCAATGGAAGAGAATAGTATTTTGAAGCCATGGATTATGCCTATTCATAGTTTTATATAAGGACTTCATTAATTTTGTCATTATTAAGATAGGTGTCAGATCTAATGAGAAAAAAACTTTTTATTCTAATAAAATTAATAATTTAATTTAGTCAGCAGATTTTGGCACTGACCAAATGTCTTCTTTAAATAAAGCCATTTCTTCTTTTTATCATCGATCAATATCTTTTTGTCCTGTTAAATAGCCTCCATTTCTGTCTCTATCTTCTCATAGTGAACACACCCAAATATTGGAATAAGATACGATCTTGATTATATTTACAAGGACTGCTAGGTTTAATGAACTGTACAAGGAAATAGAATGAGTAAATAGTTGTAAAACTTAAAAACTATTACTCAGCTCAAACCAGGATATCCTGAAGAAGCATTTTTTTAAATATTTACAGATACCTCTATTAGTAGAAGATTATGAATTGTAGATTAATTCTTTGCTATCCTATAACAGGAAAACGCATGTTTTATATATAGCAAGCAGTGTGATGCCCTCCAGGTATTTGAAGTAAAAATCCCACACAGCCCTCATCACTTATCATAAGGCTGCTAATGGAAAACATTTTTTTTAGTATGCTGCTATAATTCACAACATCTGACAATTAACAACATTAAAATATCACAAACCTAAAACTCATAAAACACCATTCTTGGAGGGCACCAGTGGGTCACCCCTGCTATATTTTATGGCAGCGGTGATAATAATTGAAACAAATGTTAGCTTCTGGATTTCAGTTTGTGTTTGTCTTTTCCTTCTATCTTCATTTCTTGTACAATGCCTTCTTAAATTGTAGTTCTTTTTAAAAATGCATATCGCAGAGACCAGCTACAGTATTCCCAACTGTATTTCCTAGGTCTTCAATCCTGCTTTTTATGCTTCACAGCATTTATTGCGTAAACCTTCCTGCAATCTGTTTCTTTCTCGTTAAAATAATAATAATGTGAAAAACTGGCGCTGCTCGCTTTTATAAGCACATCTGTAAATAGCTGTGAACTTCAAAACTTGTGTGTTTGCTTAAGAGAAAATATTAGCACCGTAGTCTTTACGGCAGGGCTTTTCAACCAGTGGTACGGGCACCACCTGTGGTACATTGGCACCTGGCAGGAGGTACGCAAGCATCCTAGAAAAGTGGTAGCGGGAGAGGGGAATGGACTGAACCGACACAAGCCTGAGCGAGAGATGGCTGGAGCTGCAAGGCTGTCAGGGCTCAGCGGAAGCGCCAGAATCAGCGCCAGGCTCCAGCTGGAGCTCGGGGCTGATCCTGGTGCTTCTGCTGAGCCCAGAAGAAGTGCCGATCAGCTGGAACGTTGTGGCCTCTCCAGGGTCTTGTGATTTACACTCAGATGCTTGGCAACCAATTCATATTTATGACGGTCACAGTGTCCCAGGGTCATGTGAAGTGACCAAAACCTGCTGCAACCACCCAGCAGACAGGGGGAATAAAAACCAAACACCCCCCCCCACTCCACCCCTGCTGCCAATCCTTAACAGAAATGCTCACAGCAATGAAAACCTCGGACAGGAGGAAGAGCGCAGCCGGGCGGGCAGGCAGGAGTCTTGCTCGGCTGTGCCTTGGGGAGCACTTTTTTCAGTGCCATTGCAACTTCGAACAG